TTAAACTTAAAATTTTCTCTTAATTATTTTGTGTTAGTTTGTGAGTTTATGTCTGATAGGACTCTAAGAAGACTTTATTTTCCCTAGTTTTCCTTAAACTAGGACACTTTATTACGTGTTCAACTCAAACTAGGATTTTTTTCGATAAAAAAAAAAAAAAAAAACTGAAACTAGGATTGCATGTTGAATTAGGATTTGTCAGCCTATAAATAATGCATTATGTTGAGGTTGGGGCTGCAGGGCCACGCATAGAGGTCAGTACCTTTTTTTTCGTTCCTTCCTAAAGTTCTAGTAAACTTAGGACCTTTTATTATACTCTTTTCTTTATTGAATTTGTAATTTATACGCAAATGGTTATTCTTCTTTTTACCGGATTATCATATATATGTATATATATATATATATATATACACACATACATATATCTCATATATCAATAGAGAAGAAGTTGAGTACCATTGTGAAACCTCTATTATTATAATTAGTTTTGTCTACGTTTAGTGTAAATATGTTTAAATATGTTTATTTGTAACTTTTCTCTCACATGCAGTAATGATTTGCTTTCAGAGAAAGAATATGGTTTGGTTCTTCTCCTAAAGCTTTTGATATTATTTTTGGTTAGACATCAAATAGTTTAATGATAAATATATATCGATACAAGACAAACAAATACTTTTATATGATCTCCAGAATATTTAATGTTTAACAATGATTATATAAAACCCACTTGTAAAGAGAATTTAATGTGACATTAAATATTCTGGAAGTTGTTTGAGAGTATTCTTTTGTGCTGCATTGATATAATTATTGGACTGTTTCATGTCTCACTGAAAGTAATTTCTTATACGAAAGCTTAAAAGCATGAAGGCGTTTCAATACTCATTCAACAAACTCCGTCCCCTTCTCAAACTCAAGTGAAAAGGTAAAGCATGGGCAGCCAAACAAATTCACATATGTTTTGACTAATGTTCTCTTTTTGTTTTGGGTTCGTTTTTTGGAGACAATCAAGTGTGCATTCCAGCGACTTGTGCTGCTGGTTCTAATAATATCCGAGACCAACTTCGCTGGTTACTGGTGGTTGCTTAGAGTCATTGTTTGATATTACCCTTCTTTTGTGACTTCATGATGACATTAATGTCATACTAGAATGGGTACGTCTCCTTTTTTCACTTAATATTTAATATGTTATTGTATTAATATACTACATAAGATAATATTGATATACTGTATAAACTAATAAATATTAATACAAAAGATAAAATATGCTAACATAATATATTAATGATATTAATACAATAAAATTATAACGTATTAATGATATTAGTACATACTATACAAATTAATATTGATATAATACATACCACATAAGCTAATATTCATATACTATATAAACCAAAATCAATGTAAAATATAAAATATGTTAACATAACATATTACTATTGATATTATTATTATTATTATTATTCCCTTTGGTAGTACTGGATTATGTCTGATACGAACTTTGTTTCTAAAAGGGCATCTAACTCAGGAAATCGTTTGGAATTTCCTTGCGCTCGTGGTTTCATGAGAATGGACATGAAAATTAGGGTAAAAATTCGGGCACCTCGGGCAACTCGGATTTTCGGGCAGAATTCGGGTAAAAATTAAAAAAACTAGCCGTTTTCGGGTTTCGGGCAATTCGGGCACCTCGGGCGGGTCGGGCAATTCGGGCAGGCGGGAAAAATTCGGGCAAAATTCAAAAAAAATTCAAAAATTCGGGCTTCGGGTCCCGGGCAATTCGGGCACACCCAATTTTCGGGTCGGGCAGTTCGGGCATGGTCGGAAAAATTCAAAAAAATCCCGGCGGACGGCGGTATACGGTGGTTAGACGGCAGCGGGCAAGGGTGGACATGTCAAATTCGGGCTGCCCGAGCCCGAACCCGAATTTCTTGCTTGGGCGGGCGGGAATTAGGCCTGCCCGCCCGAGTCCGAAAAAATTCGAGCTTCGGGCGGCCCGCCGACCCGAAGTTCCAGCACTACTTACAACTAGGGTAGTGTACTATAACTCTTAATAACGTTTTTTTTTTGTTGGAAAAAAGTACGGAAATAGTAGAAAATAGACTAATATGAAAAGTTTAAGAAAGTATATAGGTTAATTTTTAGTTATAAAAATTAATAGGTCATAACTTGTCAAGTTATGGTTCATAATTAGATAAATTATGGACAAACTTGTCAAGTTATGGTTTATAACCAGACAAGTTATGGACAAAATTGTGAATTATGGATAATAACTTGTCAAGTTATGGTCCCAGATAAGTTATGAACAAAAACAGTAATTTGACATATTTATTAACTTATGTAAACTATTGGCCCATTAATTTTAATCTATCTCAAGTCTTGGTCTATTTCTCTCTTTCTCCCATAAAAGTATAACTCTTTATAAATGTGCTCGGATAACAGACCTTTTTTTTGAGCGATTCACTATTGTGTATTATTCATCCAATACAAAAAAAAAAAAAAAAATGCTTCTGTTATGTCTTTAATTGTTTAGTGCTTTATGGGACAATGGAAATACTTATTGTAAGTTCGTTAATTAGTCACATAACATACTAATATACAAATATTCATCATCAAAATTATATTTTTCTAATCACTTGAAAAAAAAACTGTTTTTTAATGATACCACAAAACCTTCTTTGCTTAAATTGTGCAACTGTGATCTAATTTTCTGTTTAGGCCGTTTATTTCTAGGGCAAACGTACACATGAGTTGCACATGCCTTGTTAATAGATCATTTAATTGATGGAAAAGCTTCCACGTGACGTATGATAGAAAAAGTTGAGCACGTTTTGGGTTGACGTTTTTTGTCTTTTATGATTTTAAAATGAGCTTCGTACCAATTGATAATATATATTTTTGAATAATAAATCTGATCAAAACTAAATAAAAACAAAGGAAAGTGATTTTTATGCGGATCTAATGGTAAAAAAACAAAGCATACCTATAGAGTATTTTCTATAATACCCTATCATATAGAATTTTCATTTAGTAAAAGAGATTCGTCCAAGAACCAATTTGTTTCGTAGCCCGTTTGCATACCCGGACTTTTGATACACCAAAATTAAAAAGAGAACAGTGGATATTCATTTATGTCAGAATTTGAGTTTTGTTATAGTAAAAAGTTCTCAGAAATAGTTACATTTAATTTTTTTACTACAGTAAAAAACTCTCATATAAAATCACATATAAACTCGAATCAACGAATTAAACGGATCCTTAATGATACCAAATTACACCACTTCACTTACTTTATCTTAATTGGTGTTTCAAATAGCAAATCAAAAGCAATTACAACACTTTGAATAACCAAATCATAACATACTTTTACCAATACATTTGTAAAACCTAGATTTAATCACTAATTTCGAATTCTCAATTTAAGACCAGCAACTCCAAAACACCAAACCATATCACAAACTATTAGAGCGCGTAAAACTCATTCACCAACTTTTCTAACCGTAGTAGTACAACTTCCACACGTTACTATTTGCAAACAGATTTATCATATCCTGAATAGATTACAAAATCAAGTTACAAAAATTTGCATACATAGGAACAGTAGTATTGTATATATATACACGCGCGCATCAGGACCGGCTCGAGGTAGTTTGGGGCCTTAAGCAAACTTTTAAAATGGGAAAAATGAGATAAATACCCTTTAGAATGTACAGTTTTAAATTTTCATCGTTTGCACTTGATTAATAGTTTTTAGTTAAAGCACTATATCAATCAAAATGGTATTAATCAAGAGTAAAAAGTAAAAATTTTAGAACAACATATTTAAATGGTGAATTCACTAATTTTCTTTTTAAAAGGAGGCCCATTCATATTTATATATGTGTGTGTGTATTATATAGTTGTAAATTAGTATGTTTAGTTTGCTGATTTGAGTTTTTAATTTGAATTGAGATGTAACTTTATGTGAGAGCTTTTTACTGTACCAAAAAAATTAGATGTGACTATTTTTTAGAGCTTTTTACTATAACAAAACTCAAATTCTAAACTCGAATTAGTAAAATGAACGGGACCTTAATTTAGGTGTGTGAAAACCAAATCAATACATAACAACACAACAATAACAATAACAAAAAATAAATAGTTCAAAAAGTAGATAAAAACGTTTATTGATCTATTGTTCTTTTTTTTTTGGTGTTTTTTTTTTTTTTTTTTTCCTTTTTGCAGAAAAGAAAATGTTACCTTTTAATTGTGTTCCTATTATTTAGGTAGGATATTTTGTTTGAGAATCTGATTCTCGTTTTTCATTTTTGAAAGTTGTCGTTGCTCATATCTAATCTATTGAAAAAAGTATATTTCTTTTTCTAATCTATATATTTAAGGATATTTAAGTATGATACTTTTGTTTTAGGGCCTGATTCAAAAAAAAAAAAAAAAAACTATCTCTTTGTTTTTTTAAATATATATTCCTGTGAAATATCCCTATTTTTAAAGACACCGCGTTATGTATTTCTTTAATCCCCAAAAAAAAAAAATAGAGAATAAAAATTCATTTCTTAAAGAATAATAACAAAAAATCAAACTGAGATATGGAAAATATAATAGGTGTAAGTTCAAAAAAAAAAAAAGAGTCTAAAATATAGCCTAACCTTCCTGTTATAGAGGCGTTAAGGCGCCCGCTTAACCTACTTTGAGGTTAGGCCGGCACTGATATATGTGTATTTATACCAGTATATACGAGAACTATTCTTATGCATTTACTTGCCTTTGTATATAATATATATATATGAGGTAAGTGACCCAAGTAGTTTAAATATTGAGTGATGTTGAAATCAGCAAATCAATTTAAAAGAATTAAAACGTAATTAAATGCCAGCCTCCTCATTCCTGAACAAAAACGATCGCATTTGGTAAAACCAACAAGACAAGAAGGAACTTATACAAGTGAGGAAAACATTTGATAAGGATGGGTCTAAAACTGAGCAACTTTGTTATAGCTGCTTTACTCCTATTGGTGTCATCCAATATAGCAAACGCCCAAATTGTCCTCTTTGACGTGACAGAGAATGGCACAATATTGCCCCAATCCGATATCACTGATGTAAGCGTTCTCTCTCTCTCTCTCTCTCTCTCTAACCAAATTTTTGGCACAAAATTAGGTTTTCATGATCATCTTCAAAATCAACTAAATTCATTTCGTATATGATTTTTGAGGCTTTGTTGAAAGCTTGGAACAATGCATGCGCATCAACGATTCCAAGTAAAGTGGTGGTACCAAAAGGAATATTCAAATTAAGTGGAGCAACACTGGAGGGGCCTTGCAACGCACCAATCGAGTTCGATCTTCAAGGCATCTTACAGGCTCCACCAGAAGACGGAAACTTCACAGGCGGTGATACGTGGGTCGCTTTCGAGTACGTCGACCTTCTCACCATCTCCGGCGGAGGAATCTTTGACGGTCAAGGCAAGCCTACTTGGGGTAAAGATTGCGCCAACGATGAGTATTGCGGCGACCTTCCTATTGTAAGCTCTTTTATTTTATAGGTAAAATTTTAATGGTAGGCAAGGCTCTTTTCACCACCGGTAGTTAAGATACGAATTAAAAGGACTTTGGAGCTTCAGACAAGACTCGTTTGCATGTGATTTTGGAACTTTTTACTTTCCCTGTGAACGAAGGCTGGTATCTAATCACGGAATGAAAAGATAAAAAACAATGTCATTAACCAAAAAGATGCCATTTTGAAAAGGATTTTAAGATTCTTAACATATACATTTTCAATATTGAACCTATAAATTACAAAAGAAAATATTGCATTACCTTGAACAGGAGTTTATGATGCTATTAAGGGGAGGAGATTTTAGAGGAAAAGCAAGTGATTGATCTTCTTCCCCACTTCCTCCAAACTGCCATTCTTCATCTTTCGACAAGAAGTCTTCTTTTAGATGTTGGATTAATTTTTGATGGTCTGATTCATGAGCAGAAGTACTTTTGTGTTGTAGGGTGCAAATTAATTCAACCACTAAAACAACATTCACTACAAGCAATGAAATGAAAGTTTTTTTTTTTTTTTTTTTTTTTTTTTTTTTTTTTTTTTTTTTCTACTTCTGTCACTAGTTAGATTTAAGAATTAATTACATTAATATTTGCAGTATACTGAGTATTATAAGTAAACAGAATATCAGATTCAACTACGTCACAAATTCCATAATTCAAGAAATCACATCGCTAGACAGCAAGCAGTTCCACATCAACGTATTGGGGTGCCAAAATGTCACGTTTCAACATGTGAAAATCATCGCCGCCGAAAATAGTCCCCACACTGATGGAATCCACATCGGTCGTTCAACCGATATCAAAGTCCTCGACTCAAACATCCAGACCGGAGACGACTGCATCTCGCTTGGCGACGGCAGCAAACAGATAACGATCGCCAAGGTCACATGCGGACCTGGACACGGTATCAGCATAGGAAGTCTCGGAAAGTACTTGAATGAAGAGGCCGTGAAAGGCGTGGACGTCAAAAGCTGCACTCTTAAGAACACGCAAAACGGAGTCAGAATCAAGACGTGGCCCGATTCGCAGGAGGGAAAGGCATCGGACCTGCACTTTGAGGACATAATAATGGAGAATGTGGGAAATCCGGTGATGATTGACCAAGAGTACTGCCCGTGGAATCAGTGCGTGTCGCAACTTCCTTCTAGGGTTCAGATCAGCGGCGTCAGATTCAAGAACATTCGGGGAACTTCTTCGACTGCGCTCGCCGTGAAGCTTGTTTGCAGCGGCGGGCTTCCGTGTCAGGATGTTGAGATGACTGACATTGATCTCAAGTATAGTGGAGATGAAGGACAAATCACTTCAGAGTGCAAGAATGTGAAGCCCACAGTGTCCGGCATACAAAACCCTCCTGCGTGTGTTACCACTGCATCTTAATTGTGTTGTGTTCGATAGGAATTAGCTGTAGTAATTCTTAATTATTTCAAGATTAATTAAACTGCTGTAGTACTAATTGGTGCATTTAGTCACTGTGCAAGTTGTGACTATAAATGTTGTATGTGGCTAAAACTTTTAGGCACGAAAATGAATATTGTTGTAGCTAGAAAGTGTTCACTATCCTATCCTTATTATTTGTTTCTTTTTTTATTTATTTATTTTAGTGCTGATAGATCAGAAAATGTAGGGCCTCTTTCTGCCAAATTGTATGCTTAGATGATGTTAATTTTTGGGAGCCTTAACCTTATGTATGGGGTTCGATTAGATTGCTAATCTAATTCCAATCTTGATCAATTCATTTTTGGCCGTTCTCTCCTTCGTTTTTAATTCTCTAATTTGATGGATGAACTTTGTAATGCTATCACAACTTTGTCTCTTGTTTTCTACATGACTACATCATACATGTAATACAATTTCATACGCAAATACGAATGTCAATATTATATCTAGACTTAAAATAGCATAAAAAGAACATATTTTTTATATGCTCATGTATATACTTAATTCTGTTGCTCATCCGCTTGACAAAACTGGGCTTATTTCTGGTTGTTCTTCTCTCTGGACTCCCACTGGTTAGCTCCATTTATAGTTGGTGATTTATCTTTTGCTTAATGAATACATTTTCCATGTAAAAAGGGACGTATTTTTATGGTAGGATATGTAAATGTCCTCACTATTAGTAATTATTCTCCTTTCTCTTATACTCGTCGGTGTCGATCGTCAAACCAACTTCAAACCTTAATGTCCACCAATTTTCCCACTCTCCCAATTCTCTTAACTACGCATTTAATTAGTGCTTTTAGCACTAAATTGATCCGCGTATATAAAATCCCATACGTGGACCCAATTATATATATTCCTCTCAACCATCTAGCTAGTCATATAAATAATACAACATTTTAGACCTTTCGTTCACCTTTATTTGTCCCCACTACTCTCCGTCATCCTTAAGGCATGACCTTATTTTTTATTTTCTATTTTTTACTTCGTTGTCGATTAAACAAAATTAAAAGAATCGCAGATAAATTAGTTTCATTTAAGTAGATCAGTTCGGATATGTTATTCTCACGTTCTTGTCTTTTTTATTGTCTTTTACTATCTATTTATTGTGTCATCTAAATTTGATAACCAAATCATATGAATGAGACTAAATACTGAAAATAATTGAGCTATTCATAAGATGTTAAAAATTTAATTAGACAACCAATAAGAAAAAAAAAATAGGGGAACGACAAAAACAATTTAATATATCATAATAAGTTTTTAAAATTTTTCTAAAACATTATTAAGGATTCGATTTGTATTATCATATAAGATATCATTCAATATAGTTTTAATACCGATTTGACGTGTTCATTGAATCCAATTAACTGATCAAACTGACCGGTTCAATCCAATATAATCTATTTTTTTATGAATAGCCGACCTCAATTAGATTGCATTTGACGCGAATTCTTAAAAATCATCTTAGATAGGATTAAATGTTAATAATTTTAGTTTCAAAACACCCATCCAAACTGATCCAACCTCTGTATATTATAAAAATATATTTATATTATTGGTCTAAATTTAAGGGAATTTCTCCGGCCTTTTTTGAACTACTGATAGTTCAAGTAAAATTTTAGTTTGACTTGTCATTCATTGGATCATTTTATACAGTTGTATCATGTAATCGTGTACTTGAACACAGCGAATTCGCGGTCCCTTTACCAATTGAAAATATCACAGTATCACGTGTTGCTAATATGACAATTTCTTCCTCTTTTTTCCTTTTTTTTAAATGCGCGTCATTCATACTATTTTAAATATTTTTTTAAGGAGCTATTAATATCTTTCAATTGCTGGGATTTGAGATTATTAGAACCTTCATTAGGGTTCCTCATGGCAGCAAAAAGTAAAAATAAAAAATCTAGGGCATGTGGGTTCCTCAGATTGTCAAGTGAGAACTACCATCCACAACCAATGTAAATCAATGGAGTTAACCAGATGAAAAATTCGAATCGGGTAAATGATAAATTATAAAAAAAGACGCGAACATTATTATGATTTTGGAAAACCAAATCGCAGGCCAAGCAATCCAGTTGGTGAATTAAATGTCGGCAGGCAAATCTGGAAAAAAAAGTGGTTCATACTCGGGGAAATTCTGAAGAAAAAAACAAGAAATCACTAACTTTTAACCTTCAAATGTGTAAAAGAAATAAAAATTCAAGCCAAATTGGGCAAGAGACTTTTTAAAAATGAATTTAAAACCCATATACTACAAGAAAAAGGGGTTTTTACGACGATTTTTTGTCGTCGCAAAAATCCGCATGTCGTCGCAACTAACGGTTTTTGTGACGACGTGTCACACAGATTTATCGTTGCAAAACCATTGTTTGCGACGACAAAGTATCGTCGCAACTGTATTTGCGACGATAGTCTATCTTTGCGATGACAGGCGTCGCTAATACGCCATTGTAAAATTCTTGTCGTATGATCATTTTTTGCGAGACATTTCAAATTGTTGTCGCAAATAATGTTATTTTTTTACGACGACAAGTCTAAAAAAGTCGTCGCAAAAAACTGAAATTAATTTTTTTTATAATTTTTTAAAAATGGCAATTAATTAATTTTTAATAATTTTAATTAAACATTATTATGTTACATACTGAATATAATTTATTAAGATACATTAAAAGTGAAATATAAATTAATATTAAAAACAGTAAATCTAAATAAATTTATAAAATATATTATGAATACTACATGAAGTATAATGTTCAAAAAAATATAAAAGTCTAAATAAAGCGAAAAATAAAATAGTACATATAACGGAACTAATCGTCTAAGTTTGCAGCGTCGCCAACAGCTGTATCATCATCAGGACTGTCATCATCTGAAGGAGGCAGAAGAGAAAAGCGTCTAGGTTAATTGGTTCTGGACGATCAATCGTAGGTAATTGGATGTTGGGCTGCAATTTAGCCACCAACTCTAACACCTTCACCTAATTCTCATAAATCTTAACTTGTTCTCGGTACGATTTCTTTAAATAACGACTCACATGTGGGTCAGGTTGAGCCGAAGATGTTGCGTCTAAGTATGAACCGGCAGATGAAGGAGAAGCCCCAGAGTAATGCTTTTGGGAGAGCGTCGGACCTACTCCTATCTTATGTCTTCTACGCATGCAAGAACTTGCTCCAAAACCCCATGCTCGTCAAAGGTGGGTCTAGTCGAGCTTGAAGTAGACTGTGTTCTCTGCGTTTGCCTCGTCTCCTCTAGGGTGTTCTACATAATAAGACATTATAATTGTTTTTACGTGTTATAAAACTACTATTTCAGTATACAAAAATTTAATATGAAAAGTAATAATACTTACAAAAGTCTGTTCCGCTTGGGTATTAACCCAAGAGGCCCCGTGACGATGCATGTTTGCCCAATTGTCTATGGTAGACATTGGCTTTTGGGTCTCCGTACTGACCTGTCAATTAAATTACATTTGTTAAAATTCTTAAATTCTAACTAAATTTCCGCAGCATAACGACTTATTTTTCATATGATCCAAAAATCAAAACCTGTAAGAAAATAATTATAAAAGATTTTGTCACACCATAGCTGCAAGATGTGCCACCCAGAACAATCATCACAAACATATAAATACAATAATGAAGTCAAAAAATAAGTACTAACCTTCTTATTGTGATGCTGAGAGTACGATACCCGACCATGTAAGCTTGGATACTTTTGGTTGCTACGATTAGTTTTATTTGTCCCTGATATTTTCTGTTTATGATTAACTATAATAAGTAATAGTTACTTGAAATTATGTAAAAAAAATTATCAAGTTCTAACAAATCTATAATTACTTGAAATTTGTCGCCGGAGAACCTATCACAACAATGATCCCAATGAAGTTGATTCCTCATGTTACTCAGGAGACTCTCTCTACCATAGCGTTTGAAGTGGCAGTGCAGGAAACTTTTTTAGTCCTTGTAGCACTTTGCTGCCTCCTTATCAACAACGGACCTCAGAATCCATGTTAAACCAGTCCTTGCAAAATAGTTTCACATCGTTAAAACGCATTGTTAACTTTCGTATAAACTATACAGATTATTGCATAAAAAAAATACCAGCATCCGGTTCTGAATTGTCCGCTTGCCCATGTCGCTAATGTCCTTCCAAGCATCGTGGAAGGGCTCGCATATGTCCCTGGTATGAATACCAACTGCACTATCAAACCAGGTACCATATTTACCAAGCGCCTTCTAAGTACCTCCCGCCTCATCAAATTCTACTGTGATTTTTCCGTCTTGAATGACCTTTTGGGCGATTTCATAACCTTTCGCCCCACCTCGACCTTTACGTTGTCGAGGTTCAGGTGCTGTAAGCATATGTAAGCATTTCAAATCAACATGTACTACTACATTTATTTACTATATGATAGAATGAGAAAAAAATCAGAATAACATACCAGACTCACAGAATGCAGGGACTTTGTGAGGACCGGGAGAAGGCTGCGCTCCTCCTGAAGAGCTAGCGCAAGTCGCTACCGGACCAGCCATTAATGCTTGTGAACAAATTCATATTAATAACAATATTTATAAATTCACAGAAGATCATAATATTAAAATGAAATCTGAGAAAAAAGGACAAAGATTACTATTTTTAAATTCTACTCATCGTCGTTGCTTCATTATTAATTGTCGCCATCATCATTTATGTCATCATCATCTTCAGATTCGATGACTTCCTCCTCAACGTACTCCTCTAAAGTTTCATCGTCCTCGTCATTAATAAAATCATCAACTACAGGAGACTTATCTTTCATAATTACATCAACATCGGAGGTGACAACATTAGACGATAGATCATATCGATTCAATACAAATGAGTCAATCTCTGGTAGTTCCACTACTAACTCAATATTTGTAGACTCCGTATCCTGGACTATCATCACGTTATCA